TTGCAGCAAAATGGAGGGCATTGAGTCTTTGCAAGCTTTAGCTGTTTGTCTAACTGCCTGTAGAGGCAGTCTACTGTCTAGTGCCTTTTAAGTCCTAGCTGGGCTCTACAGGCAGTTAGTCAGACAACTAAAGCTTGCAAAGATGCAAAGTCCTCCATTCTGTTGTACAAGCCTCTAGTTGGCTAACTTTTGGAGATGATTTTTATTTTCTTTAGTTCAGGAGAAAAGGCTGAAGCCGAAGCCCAGCAAGAGACAGGAGAGCTTTACAACCTGCTAGTGGCCAACTGATTGGTCAGAAAGGTGTGAAAATAGCTGCCATTTTTATGAGGAATTGTGGGACCTTGAAAATGATAGCTGCTTCCAAGAGGCATGAGGAGCAGGCTTGAGTATTTATTGATTTATTTTATTTGTGTGTCAAATATGTACAGGATAACAAGTGTAGGTATGAACATAAATATGAACAAAGGAAGTAAATACAGGTAAATGGGGGCAGTAAAATAGGGACGGTAGGCATGCAGGTGCACTTGTGCATGCCCACTTTAAGGACCTCTTAAGAATGGGGTGAGGTCCACATTAGACAGTTTGAGGTTGAAGCTGTGAGGGTTTGAGGCTGTAACAATGGAGTCAGGTAGAGTATTCCAGGTGTTGACCACTCTTGCTGAAGTCGGATTTTCTGCAATCAAGTTTGGAGCAATTTACCTCGAGTTTGTATCAGTTGTTTGCCTGTGTATTATTTTGGTTGAAGCTGAAGAAGTCGTTGACAGGCAAGACATTGTAGCAGACAATTTTGTGTACTATGCTTAGATTGGACTGTAGGCAGCGCAGTTCCAAATTGTTCAAGTCCCAAATTTCAAGCCTGGAGGCATAGGGAATTCTATTGTGAGTAGAGGAGTGGAGTTCTCTTCTCATGAAATAATGTCCAATACACAGTGAGGGTGTATTATGATCCCTTTTGGAGGGGATGGGGAGGGGAAGAGGCAGGGGCACTGCAGTGTCTCCATGCAGTAAAGAGGAATGACAGCTGTTATGAGTTTGAAAGAGAGTCATATGTAGTTTTGGGTGTCGGTCATAACTTTGAACCATTATTAAATGGTCTATCATTTCTCGAGGACTACCTGTATGTTTCTAAATTGCAAAGCACTGGCATAGGTTGTTGTTGTTGTTGTTAGTTGCGAAGTCATGTCCAATCCATCGCAACCGCATGGACAACGTTCCTCCAGGCCTTCCTGTCCTCTACCATCCTCCGGAGATCATTTAAGCTCATGCCTACTGCTTCAGTGACTCCATCTAGCCCCCTCATTCTTTGTCGTCCCCTTCTTTTATTGCCCTCAATCTTTCCCAGCATTAGGCTCTTTTCCAGTGAGTCCTTCCTTCTCATTAGTAGCCAAAGTATTTGAGTTTCATCTTCAGAATCTGGCCTTCTAAAGAGCAGTCAGGGTTGATCTCATGTAGGACTGACTGGTTTGATCACCTTGCAGTTCAAGGGAGTGCAGTGCAAGAGTCTTCTCCAGCACCATAGGCCTCAATTCTTTGGTGCTCAGCCTTATGGTCCAACTTTAACAGCCATTCATTGCAACTGGGAAAACCATAACCTTGACTATACACACTTTCGTTGGCAGGGTGATGTCTCTGCTTTTTAGTATGCTGTCTATATTTGCCATAGCTTTCCTCCCCAGGAGCAAGCATCTTTTAATTTCTTGGCTGTAGTCCCCATCTGCAGTGATCTTGGAGCCAAGGAAAAGAAAATCTATCACTACCTCCATTTCTTCCTCATCTATTTGCCAGGAATTGAGAGGGCTGGCTGCCATGATCTTAGTTTTCTTAATGTTGAGTCTCAAGTCAACTTTTGCACTCTCCTTCTTCACCTGCATCAAGAGGCTCTTTAGTTCCTCTTCACATTCTGCTATTAGAGTGGTATCATCTGCATATCTGGGGTTGTTGATATTTCTCCTGGCAATCTTAATTCCAACTTTTGATTCATCTAGCCCTGTCTTTCTCATGATGTGCTCTGCATATAAGTTAAATCAGTAGGGCAACAGTATACAGCTTTGCCGGATTCCTTTCCCAATTTTGAACCAATCAATGGTTCTGTGTTCAGTTTTCACTTTTCTTCTTGACCCGCATATAAGTTTCTCAAGAAACAAATAAGATGGTCTGGTACGCCCATGTCTTTAAGAACTTGCCACAATTTGTTGTGATCCACATAATCAAAGGCTTTAGCATAGTCAATGAATCAGAAGTAGATGTTTTTCTGGAACTCCCTAGCTTTCTCCATGATCCAGCGTATACTGGCAATTTGATCTCTAGTTCCCCTGCCTCTTCAAAACCCTGCCTGTACTTCTGATAGTTCTCGATCCACATACTGCTGGAGCTTAGTCTGTAGGTTTTTAAGCATAACTTTACTAGCATGTGAAATGAGTGCAATGGTGCGATAGTTTGAACATTCTTTGGCATTGTCTTTCTTTGGAATTGGAATGTAAACTGACCTTTTCCAATCCTGTGGCCACTATTGAGTTTTCTAAATTTGCTGGCAAATTGAGTGTAGCATTTTTACTGCATCGTCTTTTAAGATTTTGAATAGCTCAGCTTGAATACTGTCACCTCCACTAGCTTTGTTGTTGCTCAGATTTCCTAAAGCCCATCTCACTTCACATTCCAGGATGTCTGGCTCAAGGTCAGTGACTATCCCATAGTGGTCAGGGATGTTAAGCTCGTTCTTGTATAGTTCTTCTTTGTAATATTGCCACCTCTTCTGAATCGATTCTGCCTCTGTTAGGTCCCTGTCATTTTGGTCCTTTATCATGCCCATCTTTGCATGAAACGTTCTACCGTTCACATCTCCAATTTTCTTGAAGAGATCTCTGGTCCTCCCTATTGATTGTTTTCTTCTATTTCTTTGCACTGTTCATTTAAGAAGGCATTCTTATCTCTTCTAGCTATTCTCTGGAATTCTGCATTCAATTGGGTGTCTTTCTCTTTCTCCCTTACCTTTCGCTTCCCTTCTTTCCTCAGGTATTTGCAAAGCTTCCTCAGACAGCCATTTTGCTTTCTTGCATTTATTTTTCTTTGGGATGGTTTTAATTACTACCTCTTGTACAATGTTGTAAACCTCTATCCATAATTGTTCAGGCACTCTGTCTATCAGATCTAATTCCTTTAATCTATTTGTCACCTCTACGGTATAGTCATCAGGGATATGATTTAGTTCATACCTGAGTGGCCTAGTGCTTTTCCCTACTTTCTTCAATTTAAGTCTAAATTTTGCAATGAGAAGCTCATGATCACCGTCAGTTTCTGGTCTTGTTTTTACTGACTATAAAGAGCTTCTTCATATTTGGCTGCAGACCACATAGTCAATCTGATTTCTGTGTTGACCGTCTGGTGATGTCCATGTGTAGAGCAGTCTCTTGGTTTGTTGAAAAAGAGTGCTATGACCATCATATTTTTGGTGTTAATTCTATAAGATGCTATAGGGCTTCATAGAATCGGTCAATTTCATCCTCTTCAGCACCAGTGATTGGGGCATAGACTTGTGATATTGAATGGTTTGCCTTGGATTCAAACTGAGATCATTCTGTCATTTGGGGGATTGTATCCCAGTATTCATTTTCCTACTCTTTTATTGTCTATGAAGGCAATTCCATTTCTCCTGAAGGATTCTTGCCTGCAGTAGTATACCTGATAGTCATCTGAATTAAATTCACCCATTCCTGTCCATTTTAGTTTGCTGATTCCTAAGAAGTCAGTGTTCAGTCTTGTCATCTCTTGTTTGAGCACGTCCAGCTTGCCTTGATTCATGGATCTTACATTCCAGGTTCCTATGGAGAACAGATCTTTACAGCATCGGAGTTTCCTTTCACCACCAGATGCATCCACAGTTGAGAGTCCTTTCAGCTTTGGCCCAGTTGCTTCACTCTTTCTGGCGCTACTAGTCTGGGGAAGTAGCATATTGGACAGTTTCCGATCTCAGGGGTTCATCTTCAGCATCATATCTTTTTGCCTTTTGGTACTGTCCATGGAGTTTTCATGGCAAAGATACTGGAGTGGGTTGCCATTTCCTTCTCCAGTGGATCACATTTTGTCAGAACTCTCTACTATGACCTGTCCATCTTGGGTGGCCCTGCACAGCATAGCTCATAGCTTCATTGAGCTACGGAAGCCCCTTTGCCACGACAAGGCAGTAATCCATGAAGGGGCATAGAATGGCTACCACTAATAAAACCTTACTTGTATTTATCATTCTTTTCCAACTGTGCAACTGCCTATGAGACTTAGACTTGTTACTGTCAAAACCAGGGATTTGATAATGTGACACCTGCACTAATGCCTATGTATAAAGAATAAATATTACTATTAGTATTAATATTTATCCTCCCATCCTTTCTTTTACCCTTCTCCTCCCACTTATGACTGTATGTAACCTTGTTGCTTGTATCTTAACAATTTTTATTGACTGTTTCCTAGTATGATTTGATTGCTTATTGTACCCTGTGATTATTATTAAGGGTTGTACCTGATGATTCTTGTCTCTTGATGAATGTTTCTTTTCTTTTATGTACACTGAGAGCATTTGTACCAAGACAAATTCCTTGTGTGTCCAATCACACCTGGCCAATAAAGAATTCTATTCTATTCTATTCATATTCTTTTTTTATTTTGTTTCAGTTGTATAATATAAATCCATTGGCAACTATACACATTGTTAGTTAGCAGGATAATGGAATAAACAACTTTATATTTGTAGAAGTAAAAGTAAACATTTAATGAGAAATTAGTATGTCTCTACTCTCCTTTTGCACACTTGGAGCAATGCTTTCAGTCCTTTTGAGTTACCCTAGCATGAGACGGTACATTCTATCTAATCATTAAAAGCTATAACAATTCCCAAAAAAAGAAAAAAAACATTTAGTATGCAGTTCCAATACAAATTATTATTAATGCAAGTTATTCTTGCAAATACTATGAATCAAAATTAATTGTAATTGCTTTTTCCTCCCAAGCTCTCTCGCTTCAAAGAAATTGTTGGGAAGATTCACACCCCTGTTTCTCAAGAAGCCCCTATCCCTCAAGAATCAGCATTTTACCCTCCTTCAGGTTTAGTAAATATTTTAATTTTTGTATTAATTTCTTAAGTAGAGATTAGAATCCACATATATAGTATAGCTGCATATAGCAATAGTGCTTAGACTTATATACCACTTCACAGTGCTTTACAGCCCTTTCTAAGCAGTTTTACAGAGTCAGCATAGTGCCCCCAACAATCTGGGTCCTCATTTACTGATCTCGGAAGGATGTAGGCCTGAGTCAACTGAGCCTGGTGAGATTTGAACTGCCCAATTGCAATCAGCCAGAGGTCAGCAGAAGTAGCCTGCAGTATTGCATTCTAACCACTATGCCACCGTGGCTCTTAGCAAATACCATATACTGATATTTGCACCATTAAAATCGAATATTATTCTGAATGAAAACAGGAAGAGAAATTGGCCTAAGTAAAATGACAATATATTTTGTTTGTTTGCAGTTTCCAGTTGCAGCATGTTCCAGTTACAGCTTAAATTTTTCAGTTAGTTGACAAGATGTTAGCTACTCTAACAAAAGTGCTGCTTGTTTTAAACAATTTATCAAATGAAGGGAGGTTATCCCAATCTTTCTGGTGTATAATTGTCTTAATCTTCACTACAAAGTGCCTATCATGTAATCCTATACTAACACATTACTTTTTTAGCAACTTAAATACGACACATTGACTGTCTTTTCCTTAGTGCCAAAGGAAGTATTTTGCTGGATATAATACAATAGTATTCATATCTTTTAGAAGGAAAGCTGAAAGAAGCCAAGACAAACAACTTTTTAAGAAAGTTATCCAAGGTGCCTGGACTCAATGTTGCTTTGCCCTTACAGAAGCAACTTTGAGGCTTTGTTCTAATGTGTGTGATAGGTTCAGTCTTTGAAAATAGATTAATATTCACATCTCTATAAAAATGTAAATGTATTTTATCAAAAACCGGCTTTTCAATAGAAAGTTCTGACATTGATGATACATTTTGTTCTTCATCTGGGTGTCCGTTCACACAGATGGCGGTACCCCTGGCACAGTCCTGTGTAGAAATTTAAAACCTAAAGAATTCTCCATACATCACACCCACAACTACATGAAACTCAAGCTGAGTTCCCTGTTGGTTGCTAATCACTGTAGATACTGCATAGCACATTATTATTCTATCTCATTTCTCTATTTTTTTTCCTTTTCATTATTTTCTCTTTCTTACCAGTTGAGTTGGAAGCGTTTCACCCTTTCTCTCTTTGTCTTCCAGCCTTGTTCATAGCATTTTAAAGGGTTCTTTCTGCAAGTGTCCTGCTTATGAAATCAAAATTTACAATTTAACAAATTATATAATTTTCAAATTCAGGCATCCTGAACAATTTTTATGAATTCACAAGATTGCAACATCTCAAATTATTTTTTTAATTTAAAGCAGGGCTCCACAAGTGCCATTTTATGATTCAATGGATAGGAGAGGTATACTGGTGGGTGTCCTATCTCTTGATTGTGGTTTTGGAGTTTAATTATACTTTAACATCTGTAAAAGTGCTATGTCTGTTAAGTTAAAATGTTAAAGCAGAGGGTGTAGAATACTAATTTATTTACTCTTTATCATTTGAGGTAACTGACTGTTTCAAAATTTCAAACTGAATAATTGTTCATAATTTTAATGTGGGTTTTTTTTGTAAAAAAAAAATCCATAATGCAATCAGCAGGAATGTGATTTAAACTTAAGTACCATCAAAATCAGAAGTAAAATTATATAGCGTTGTGAATTTGGTGACCAGGATTTTTCCCTTCATGTGTCAAAATGTAACCACCCTTTTTCCCCCCTGTTTCTGTAGAACAAGAAGTTAAGGCAGTAAAACCAGTATCTGATTTTCAGGTATGAGGTTCATAGTTAAATCGTGATAAAATGAGATTGCAACAACAATAATAACAACAATAATAATAAACAACTAGATAACCCATGACCCATTGGGCCATCCTTTTGGAGATATTTCCTTCCCAGATTCATGAATGCCTTCAACGGTGACAGAGCTTCCAATATACTATTGTCACTGGAAAAGTTGAGATAAATCCAGATACAGGATATAATTGCCTTGAATATAGCCCATGTTCCAAAGAATAATACAGTCAAAGCAACAGCACAGGAAATGTTTTATGACATAATGTATTATGTCATAAATGGTTTTATGATAAGGTTATGTCATAAAATGTTTTATAAAATTTGCCAACTTTCAATTCCATAGGAGTCAAAGGTCCTGGACTTTGGATGCATTCTGTATGTTAGTCCACTTGAGCTACCTTGCTTCAAAAATTGTTGCCTTAAGATGTACCGTTTTGCCCAATTAAAGGCTACAGAAATGAGAGCGTTAGTAGTATATAGGTAATAATAACCAATTATAGTTCAGGGTTGGCTAATAAGGAAAACCTGTGCATTCATGGAACTACATTTTTCTAACCCAGGCTTGGAAGAGAAAAACTAGTCCCTGTCCTTAAAGTTATCCACATTACTTTCAGCTCAACTACAACAGCACCCTCAAACCTGAGACTTGGTAAAAGATAGGCTAAGAGAATAATGGGTTTTCAGTTGATCTCCCCTCCTCACAAAGGAAGAACTTGCATTAACCCACCTGTGTAGGCAAACTTTTAGTGAGGAACAAAGCAGATTAATTCTTCTGACTCCTCTAATACAAAAACTAAATTATAGTCAATCTCCATTAAACTCAATGAGGTTTTTATTATTGCCATAGTGGTGGGTTTTTTTTTTCCATAATGTGTAGTATTTTCTAACTTGGTCCTCTTTTGAGGCTAAACAAACCTATGCAACAGGAAAGATACATTCCAGAGAAGCTTCCTATCTCAAAGGGAAATAAGAGATTTCAATCTTAATTGTCTCAATGCTAATTTATTAAGGCATTCTGTATTCCACTTCCTGATATTATGCTTTTCTAGGTAAAAATATTTTTTCTGAAGAATTTTACCATATTTGATAGGTAGATGAATTCTGAATTACTATGACCATTTTCAGGCTGATTTTCTAAATTCTTCAAAGATAAAAATTACTGGGTTTATTATGAAATGAAAGAATGCATAGGCAAGGCTATTCATTTGCCAAACAATGCATATATTTCATTAAATAAATTGCAGTTTTTCTGATGATTATCATGATGATGATGATTATAGACTGATGAGTATCATGATGATTTATTACTGAAATTATTTATTTTAGAAATTTCCAGGTATTCCACCTGACTTATCTAATATGCATTTACAAATTCCTGCACCTGTACCATCCCGTGTGGGAAGTGACTCAGAAGAATCGGAGAAAAGTGAAATTTATACACCTGTTGAACAAATTGAACTTCCAGCACTGACAGTAGTATCTAGCAGGCCCCATTCATCAGGATCTTCATCTGACAGAGAGAATCTGGAACAGATTACAAGACGACAAATTTCTCATGTGTCTGAAACATCTCTATCTAGTTCTGGAGGAATCGTAGCCGAGTTTTCAGAGAGCGGTGATTCTGAACCCCCTCCTTTTCTTGGTCCTAGAAGCAAAATACGCCTTAAAGAAAGATCTGTAGCAGAAGCACCTGCCTTAGACTATTTACCAAAACCAATAGAGGTAGTTGTTGCTAACATGTAATTATGATGTATGTTCTCTCTTCTTCATCCCTTTCTGTACATAGGAGTTTTATATTCCTGTCCTTTCTGTTTTGAAATTCATGCATTATTCATACAAACATGCCTATATTATGAACTTAAACTAGTTCCCAGTCACCTCACTGGGAACATGCAAAGTGTCCTTCCATAAGGAATTAAAAAGCAAGAGCAGATATATTTTTAAAACAGCTGTACCAGCATTGCTTTAACCAGTTTCTACTACTACTATCGTGTTGGAAGCACAAAAGTGTTTCCATGGGGAAAGGATTTGCCGGTGATATCACCATTGCTTGGGGGGAATGTTCAGTTATGGACTACTTTTGTGTTCCCATGAAGTTGCCCACTGAAGTAATACCCATTTATCTACTCGTGGTCACCCATTTTCAAACTGCTGGGTCAGCAGGAGCTGGAGCCTGTGACAAGAGCTGAACCTGCCCTTCAGCAGCAATAGATCTCAAACACAAGCCTGCCAATTGTTAGCCAGCGTTCTAACCCTGTGAGCCACCGTGCTCCTATTAACCAGTTTTTGATCAGCATTGACATCATCTGATCACTGGAATTTCATCCAGACAAATAGGTTTGCTGCCTATAAGAGAAACAAAATGGCTTTTCTGCTGGTTAACCCATTACACTTTTAAAGAGCAGGGAAGAAAAATTATATAGGATATTTTATCTCCTCTTTCAACAAAACTAAGAAGTTTGTCCTCTTCTGTTACTTCTGGATTACCAAATGGATGAGCTTAAAACAATACTTGTTCCATTTTTAGTGTATCAACCAGGACTGGTAAAAACAACTTTGTCTCCCTCTGCTCCCATTTTGTTGGGTTTCATAGCTAGATGTAGACATGTTAGAGAAATTAAAACAGGCTGCTAAGAAGAACATTCATTTGCACCTTTGGTTTCTATAGGGGACCTGTAGGCAACAAAGCATCGTACAGTGGGATCAGACCACAGGACTTTATTCTAGATGTGCAGGTTAGGAAAATCAAACTTCATGTAGCATCCCAAACACTGCTCACTATTGGCTGTGTCACTGGCACCTATTATCTCATATTGTGAGGAAAAGCTCAGGCAAGACCTGGGTTGGCTTTGGTGAGTTTCCCTGGAGTCCATAACTGAACATTCTCGCCAAGCAACAGTGATATCACTGGCAAATCCTTTCACCATGGAAGCACTTTTGTGTAGTAGTAGTAGAAACTGGTTAAAGCAAGGTATAGCAAATGTAGTGCCAGAAATGCAGTTCTCCAGAATGGGTCAGTGTGGTCAGACCTCATCCTGAGTAATCCTCAGGATGGATAGAGGTTTAATGCAATAGCTGAGAAAATGTAGTTTTCTCTTTGCAGAAAGTGAAAAGACACATCCTTGTATGTGACAACTCTAGTGTTATGTAGACAAATCACTTGCAAGTTGGATCTATGAAAAGAAAAACTTCACTAAATATATTTCTCCCTTTGGTATATTTTGCATACTGATTTTCTTCTTGTATACATTTATGTAGTACATTATTAAAAAATGAAAGTAACTATTCCTTTCTTCTTGATAAGTTGCCTTCTAAGACTTCAAAGGAATCATTTTCTGTTTCTGAAATTCCTGTGAGAATCTCAGGTAAGGCTATGTACCTAAATTCTTAATGAAACAAATATATGTATAACAATCATGTCTTTCCAAGCAGATCACAATATGTTCAGTATTCCAGAAAAATTTACATAGAACTTATTTTTTTTAATTTTTAACTCAGAGCAATGGTGCTTGGAATTTAAAAAAAAATGGGAAAGATGTAATTGGTATGATGCTGTTATTTTTTCCCTACCAGATTATCTGGGTAGAGTTAAAAAATAGACTCAAATTTTAATCCGCCCTTTGGGTTATATCAAAGTATTATGAAATGTGGCTTCCAGACAAGGAATGAACAGGGTGGCAGCTCCAGGCCAAAAAAAGTTGCTCAGACGTTTTACTGGGGCAGCAATTTTAATCCTGAAACCATAATGTGGGAAGGAGAATAGAGGAGGCAATGAATCTCTTGGTATAGGTGTCAGGATAATGATTTAACATCTGACCAGCTGCTACAATGATGTAATGCTGGGAATGAGTCAGCAAAGTTTTTGGTCTGATATCACTTTAAGACACTGTAATAAGAAGAGGCCCTGTTGGGGCGTATTTCTCCCTCTGTGTGTGCTTCCATGCTGTAATAGCTGAGTGCTGTTTGTTTGAGGTCTGACTAAAAGTATGTACATGTATATTTTGTAGATAAAACCACTATTTAAATACAAACCTCTGTTTACTGTATTTGCTCTGTCCTGGGTTGTCTCACACAGTCACATTGTGTGCACTCCAGACCAGAGAGAAGGCCAGAGTAACTAGAGAGACCAGAGAGAAGAGAAACTCAGTAAGAGCTTGCACTAGAGCCAGAGGAGTTGTGCATCGTGGTTTGTTAGTGGTTAGTTCTTGTAACTGAAACAAGCAACATGGCTTCCATCAGCGTAATAGGAGGAGGTTTCATGGTGTCTCGGCTAAATAAGACAAACTACCTCTTGTGGAGTGTAAAGATGGAGATGTACCTGCGAAGGGAGAAGTTGTGGACAATAGTTACTAATCCACCAGCAGTCCTGCATGATGGGGACCAGAGAAGAAATGAAAAGGCATTAGCCAACATAATTCTGGCTTTAGAGGGTAGTCAGCGGATACACATTAGGGGTCTCCAGTCTGTGAAAGAGTGCTGGGAGGCGTTGCACAGTGTGTATGTTAGAGAGACTGCAGGCAGTAAAGCACAACTGAAGCCGGAGGAGAGCATGTCTAAACATCTGCAGGCTATGAGAAAGACATTCCTGGAGTTAGAGGAAAGAGGAATTACATTTACTGAGGCACACAAGGTATATGTGGTGCTCAGTTCATTAGATACTTCATGGGACATTCTCGTGACTAGCCTAGAGTCTATGCAAGAGAGGGACTTAACTATGGTATGTTTGACTGGCCAACTGTTGGAGGAAGAACAGAAACAGATTTGAAAGGCAACTAGAAAAGGAAGGAAACAATGCTATGCATAGGCCAACATGTGCAACATCCCAAGATGCAAGCAGAGAGCTGAGACTGTTTATACAATGAAACGTTGCTTCACATGTGGTTCTGCAGAGCATCTCCAGACTGCCCTGAGAGGAGAAACAGGATCAACAAGACAAGGGCATAGGGCTACTCAGGTACTCAACACATGAGGAGTGGTTCTTCATCGTCATCTTTTTCCCTGGAAGCAACCACATCTGAAAACACTAGAAACACCTGGTTGTTGGACAGTGGGGCGAGTCAGCATATTGCAAATGATCGACAAATGTTTTCTTGCTTTAGACCAGCTAAGCAAAGATTAGTTAGTTTGGCTAATGGACAATAGTCTGCTGTTAAAGGGGAAGGTAAAGTCTATGTACCTGAGATAGGGGAAACATTAGACAATGTATTGTATGTACCTGAATTAGATCATAATCTGTTGAGTATTTCCAGTTTAGATAGCCATGGGTATGAAATACTGTTTGCTAAAGGACAATACACCATAAGGAAAGGTGGAAGAATTCGTGCACGAGGTATTAAGCAGGATAATCTATACATATTAGGAAAGCAAGAGAATGGTTGTGCATGAACACTTACAAACACTGCACACATGACAATTGTGTACATTTATTGCACAGGAGATTGGAGCATGCAAGTTTTAGAGTACTGCAGAAGATACCAGATCTAACTGAGGGACTTAAACTAAACCAATGCAAGATATACTTAGATTGCACTATTTGTAAAGAGTCAAAATCCAGGGTGCATCCTGTAAGTAAGAAAAGTTCAAGGCAAACAGAGTCATGCAGTTAACGCTAACTTGATTGGCCCTATAGCACCCTCTCTAGGAGGAGCTAGGTATACCCTAGTCATAGTGGATGACTACACGAGATATGGGTTTTGTTATCTGCTGAAAAGCAGGACAGAGATATTGCAACAGTTCAAGCAATGGGTAAGACTTGTAGAGTGCAGGTATGGCTGTAAAGGGAAAAGAGTTCATGTCTGATAATTTCCAAAGATGGTTAAGGAGTTTAGGCATAAAGCATAGACGTACGAATCTGTACTCGCCAGCTGAAAGTTGAGTGGCTGAAAGATGGAATGGCATATTGCAAACAATGAAAGACTCAATGCTAGCACATGCAGGGGGGAAGACATGAACACAGCGAATTATATATATTTTCTATTATATGGAAGAAAACCTTCATTGGCTTACCTAATAACATTTGGTAGTTATGTCCACCAGGAGAAAAGGACAGAAAAAGGCCAGGAAGCTTAGGTTTGTTGGTTATGATCCAGGTTCACAGATGGAATCAGAAAGGTGGTGATTTCACGCTCTGCTAGTTTTGCAGAACAAAATAATTGGAATAGGTTTCACGATAATTCTGAGGTGTTCATCCAACGCATAGCATGAGTTCTCCGGAAGGAGAAGCTATGCAAAGTCCAATGAGGGAGAGACAGAAAGCAGGTTAGAAGTAGACATAGAAGAGGATAGATCTGAGATAAAAAAGAGAAGGCAGAGAAACGCAGGAACAGATGATACCAAGGAGATCTGAAAGAAGTAATAAAGATATACCTCATGATCAGTTCACTGCAAGTAGGATTAGAGTATATAGTGTTCAGTATGAACTCCATAATTACCAAGAGATGTTATCATTGCCTAAGGCAGAACAGGACAAATGTAAAGGAAGCAGTACCAGTATTTGAAGACAATGTTGCATGTATAAAGATGGCAACAGGAGAATGCATTGGAAGCAGGAGCAAACATGTAGACATCAAATATTATAATGTTAGGGAGGCTGTAGAAGATACATTGAGAAGATAACAGCAATGTTCCACTGACCATAATATAGCTGATATATTAACAAAGCCTGTAAATGTAGACAAACATTCGGAATATGTTAAAGCATTTTGATTAACAGCTGTTCAGCTTTAAATGGGAGGAGTGTCAGGGTAATGATTTAACAGCTGACCCGCTGCTACAATGATGTAATGCTGGGAATAAGTCAGCGAGGTGTTTGGGCTGATATCACTTTTAGAGCCTATAATAAGAAGAGGCCCTTTTGCAGCGTATCTCTCTCTCCGCGTGTGCTTCTGTCCTGTAACATCTGAGTGCTGTTTGTTTGAGGTCTGACTAAAAGTTCGTGTATGTATATATTCTTTGCAATAAGATGTTCTGAATATGCAACTCTGCCATCCCTTAAGGAACTTCACTGCCATTACAAGGCTGAAGTTCCTGTTTCCTAAGAGTAGGATGTAAAGGGTCAAACAGAGAGCAACTGAGAGGGTGACTTTAGTTTCCTTTTTGAAGGAGCATCCACAACATACTCCCAAAATTCCAAATATTTCCTCTAACCCAAAACAGTTTACTATGTGCCTTCTGTAGGTTTGGGGGGCAAGGGGTTGCCCAAGACTATATTACTCTGAATAATTCTGGAGTACATATACTACTAGATTCATTTCCCCTATCACACAAATGTTATTCACAAATACACTCATGCATGCATGCCATCTCCAAACTCAATTAGTGGAACAGCTAATTCAAGACACCTTCAGAACTTTAACTAATACTTCCACATTAAGCCAGTCTTTGTGGCTTAAATTTGAGGAAGCCAGTCTCAAAATTGATTCCATTTCTTAGGGGTATAGTTTTCTGATAAGCCACTTCCTTTTCTATGTGAGTTAATTTCACAGACATTGAATAGAACCTTATACTGTAGCTATAAAATGCATATTTAATTGCGCTTATATTTTAAATATTCTAATTAATCATTTCCAGATTCAGTTGTTGAACCAGAACAGCAATGGCCATGGAAAGAGGTTACGGTAAGAAATAATTAGTTTTGCAGTATTAAAACTGAGTAATAAAGTAAAATAAAAGTCTAAAATTACATACTAAAGGATAAATAAAGTTCACTTAGAAGGTATCTTGTCACTACATTATTATTAATACATACCATTAAACAAACCATAGAACTACAAAACTTTTCAGTTTTTCTGGTCATCCTACATAGGACTAAGGCACCTTTATAGAGGCCTTCATGGATCTCTGGGTACTTGTACATGAAGGAAGTTTTTAGGTGGAAAGTACAGTAGTGTTTGGCTTCATTTCTACCCTGTTCTTATGATTCTTATAATGATTCTTCACACTTTATAGAAATCTTAAAATAAGTTTGCATAAAAAATATTTATTCTTTCTAGAGGAGAGTAGTTTGGTTGCTAAATCTGGACTAGCAATCCTAGCAGGATTTTATGCCTATAAACTGGCAGGCTTTATTTCACACATATTTGGAATATAAGAGCAAGTTATTGCCAACATATGGTCACTGCCTTTATTTCATATGTCTTGCTTTCGAATCTGCCTTCATTGTCAAAAGTTAACAAAATAGGCATATAGTCACTGTTTTTGACACTAACCAAGGGGACAAGTAGCATCATTTGAAAGGTTCCATTGCCCCCCCAAAATGGAAGAAGAGTTCAAACACTTCTTCTTCCAATTATTTCCTAGAAGGACCAGAACTTTTTAGTGCAAGCTGGAACTCGCATCATCCATCTGCCTTCCATTTCCTCTGTTCACCCATCTTATCATGAACTAGCCAGTTATTGATATCACCAATTTTGCCAGCCCTGAGAAATATTGATCTGGCTACCTAGCATTTAGTTGTTAAAGGTGTGTGGGTGGGTGGGTGGGAGTGTAAGAGAGAGGGAGAAGGAATTAGATAGTACACCTTTCTGACATTCCTTAGGCTAGCTGCTTAGCACCCAGTAAGCTCACATCTTGTCTCTGCCAGGACGTTAGCAAAATCTTTACAATTTCTCTTTCAATAAAGTTTCTTGCTATTGTTGCCCTCCTTGACATCTACCTTGGTACTGGGAATTTTTTCTTCAGCACTTATTCAATATCAAAGTCTTTGTGTTACCTATTGTGCCTGATTAGGAAGGACCCACTTACATATTTACGAGCTTATTAATACATCCCTTTTTTTTTACTGTTGCTTTCCCACCAGATGCCATCCTCAAATACCTCAGATGTGCCTTCCATATCAACATGTCCTTATGCAGCACCATTAACTGCTATCTTGACTACAACAGGATTTACATTTGCTTCATTTCCTGTGGTTTTCCTAATTTCTGTGGAAGTCTTAATGTCCTGGGATGCCACTCTTGGCAAGACTATTTTGAAATATAGTCTTAGTTCCTTGCTGTAGTTCTGGTCTCTAAGACAATGAGGATTTTTACTTGACTTCGGCATCATTATATTGTAAATATCAACCTCTTTCCTCAGCACTCAATTTTTACCATTCCTGATGCTTTGAATATCATCCGTTTCTGTAAATCAGTTCCTATAAATCACTGTTTTGTGTCACTGAATATATCCTCAAAAAAAGCAAAATATTGTTCAACCAGGGTTCTTGCAAGGAAACTGGGTATAATTTAGTTTTCCTGTTTCCATAAAAAGCAACTAGTATGCATTCCTCCTTTATGTATTAAATTTAAAAAAAATCATTTAACATTTAGTGCAGAATTGTGATCCATGACCATAAATGAAATTTTGATTGTTGAGGAATTCCTCTTTCTCTAGACACAGCAGGGATAACCAGTTCACCGCCCTGTCAGAGAAAATAGACTGAATGCTGAGCAGCTCTTACACATGACTGGTGTCTTAGGCCTTGAAGCTCACTAGTCTTATCCTACAGAAGATGAGCAATTTTTCAAAATATTTGCTTTAATTTAATAACTCCTGATGTAATATCAGTTCTTTCAACCATTTTGAGCTCTATGAAAATTATGCTTGGAAAGATTCACTGCCATCTTCAGGCAGAGCCTGACAATCTTGAGAATAGGAAATGTATTCTCGGATTTCAAACTAACATATTACTGCAGAGAATAATTCCACAGATCCAGCTGCCCACTTTTACTTCAGTGCCATTCTCTTTCTCCCACTTACGCTATTTGGTCCATTTTCAGTGTACTTATTTCTCCATGATTACAGATACATGGCTATTTTCACTTATCAGGAAGGGCAACCTACATTAAATTTTGAACTAATCATCACTGAACAAATTATGGAACAACTATTCGGTGGAGGATATGTATGTAGCTTGATAAAGAAGAAACAGGGCCTATTCCACTTCAAGAAGTTTCTCTCTCTCTCTCTCTCTCTCTGTGTGTGTGTGTGTGTGTAAAATCTTTCTCAGTTTCATATAGCAAAATGCTACTGTTCAATTGTTGTTGCACAAAGGGCTTGATTTGCTCAGTTGATTTACCTAACATCATTCATGGTCTTCTTCAGAGATTCCCATCTGTTTTTCTGATTCCAAGAGCAAGAAAGCAGGCTTGGAGTGTTTTTATAATACTTCTCAAAGTGGACTGTGGCCACTATAAGATTGCTTTGATTTTTAAAGCAATACTTCGCCTTCCCACCTAAACATATCCTACCATCATGATATCCAGCCACCACTGTTTTCTTTCAGCACATCCAACTGCCACAACTTGGTAGAGGAGCTACATGGTCACATCCTCTTTCATTCAACACTATTTGTTGGACCTTCATGTCCAGAGGGATGTAGTATTTGAGAAATCGGTTCTTTCCTCCATCAGTGTAGGGATCACAAAAATCCTGATGAAGACAAGACTTACCTGGACCTGTGGTTCTTCAAATGGTGGTCTATGAATACAGAACCCACTCTCATTTTCTAGTTCAGTTCACTGAGATATCACATATACTATACACTGAGGTATCACACATATGTTAATCACAGTCCATCTTGAACATAGCAGAAAAAAGGGTATTGAGAGTTAACAAGGTTGATACCATATGGTACAAAGTTATTTGTAAATGTATTTTAAATTATGGCATAGAAGAATATTTTATATATCCCATTATTTACAATCAACATTTCAAAGCATCTTAGTTCTACCATTCTGTCTTTAAATTGCAGTTCCAAGATGCATTTTTTAGTAGAAACAAGTTTGAACCCTTCTTGAGACGTGTTTGTAAAGTACAACCACCAGAGCTTCGTAAAGGCACAATAGACTATTCTGTTCTTTTAGAAAAAGCATACACAACTGTTGATTTCAAAGAACAAGAAGACCAGGATCCACCTCCAGGTCTGCCTTTGACAAAATTAGATAATGGCTTAGATCCCAAATTAATCAGAAGTGGTGAGCAATTGTCAATATTAAGACTCCTTGAAAAAAAAATTGATTTGCAACAGGAAGATAAAAAAATTGCGGTGGAAACTGAAAGAGAAACAAATCCATCAATTATAACTTCTGAATCAAAGCCACAAGGAGATAAACTATCAGAAGCAGAAATAAAACAGGTGAATGTTTACTTCAAAAACTCTCTTGAAACTTTTCTTGTTGATAAAGTTGTAAAAGTGGTAGCACTTAAATCACTTTTGAGCAAAAACATTGAAAACCTAGTTGCAGAGAGATTTTCAGGACCAGAGTTACCCCAAGAATTAGAAGACAGCAGCCCATTAGATGACAGAGAAAAATGTTCTCTGAAGGAAATAACAACTAGTACTACAGATGCATTTTCAGAACCAGACATTAGTGAACTGAAAGATGTTGTAAGTCAACATTTGCAGGCTCAACTTATTGGAAAATTGTCTGAAAAAGGGATAATTCCAGATATGGTGATAGCAGAGACCCAGGTATCTCTCCAGAGTTCTAGTGATTTGCTCAGGAAAGCTTTATCAAAAGAAGTAACTTCACAAACTGAAATAATAACCATAAAACCATTAAGTGAGAGTGATATAAGAGAACTTTCCAAATCTGAATCCTTAGATAATAAAGAAAGTCACAAAAGCAAGCCAGTATCTACAGAAGCAGATTTATACGAAAGCAGAAAAGATGATTACGAGCCTATTTTATTTCCTCCTGAAAGCCAAACTAGTCCAGAGAACGAACCAAAATTTGATTTAAAAAACTTACCCTCAAATACATCATTAGAAATCATTAGAGTAAAGTTACCGTTCAGCATTGAAACAGCTAATATAAAAAAACATGTTTCCCTCCATGATACCCTCCTTCAAAAGATTTTAAAAGCAGAAATAAAAAGTTTAAAATCATTTTTAAGCAAAAGTATTCAGGACCACCTTAAGGATAAACTTTCAGAAACTGGATTAAGCAAAGAAGACCTGGAAACTGTGTGTCAGAAGTTGTCCTTGAACTTGAAGGAGAAATCTAATGAGGGCTTTGATGACAGTGTGTTAAGCAAAAGTATTCAAAATCTTTTTGAGGCCCTTTCAGAGAATGAAATTTCCAATTTAAAGTCTGCATTGAACAGGAAAATCCAAAACCATCTCTTGGAAAGAATTTCAGAAATTGGACTGATCACACAGGAAGAGTTAAAAAAAATACTCGAAATGGTATTTCCAGTTGTAGCCAAAGAAACAGCACTCAGGGCAGAGAAAGGACCAGATTTAGCTAAAGAAGAACAAAGTGTACAGCAAGTATCTCATATAACTCATGCTCTACAAGATAGGTTTTCTGAAGAAGAATTGCAAAATTTAAGGTCTCTCTGCAGCAGACTCTTGAAAGAAGGCCAAAGAGAACAACTTTCGGAACTAGAAGTAAAAGGTTTAGCATCTGTTTTGCAAAAAAGCTTTGAAGAGCTTCCTGCACCAATCAGTCCCCAAACTAGCAAAGAAATAGATAAGGATATGGATCATGATGCATCTGTTTCAAGTATTGAAAGCATTTCAAAAGTTAGTGATGTCAATTTATCCGACAAAGCAAAACATCCTTCATATGAAAACCTTCCTCATACATCAACTGCAAGTGAAAAAATTAAAAAGGAAAATCTAGGTGGTCTTATAAACAGTATTTTTGAAGTACAAACAAAAAACCAAGAAACCCAAACATCTGGTTGCAAAAAAGTGAAACACACTTGTAAAAAAGAACGTTACAGATTGCCAGGTTACCCTGATAATCTAGAGATATCAGATTTGAAGAGACGGTCCTATGAAGAAATATCACAAAATAAGCCTCAGAAAGAATCATTGAGGAAAATATCTGAACCATTTGCCTTTTCCTCTTTTTTGAGTGCACATGACATTGGAGCCCAAACTGAAATTAAAAATTATCTTTCCAAATCTCCTAATTATCCTTCCAAGCCTCCCTTTCCAGTGAACCCTCAGACGTTTCTCTTTTTACACCCAGAGTCTGAGGAAGAAGCAAAGCCAACTTGCAAGTATCATCACAAAACCAAAACCAAGAAGACTGACAGAAAGAAGGATGCTGCATTACATCACTCACAGCAAGGAGGGATGAACCCTTCAGCCAAAAAGGAAAAAGCACATCGCCGATCATCTAAGGATGTTTTAAAAGAAAAACATGGAAAAAAACATGGTGAGTTGTCTTCTAAAAAATCGAGCACGACAGAAACCAGGAAGGATTCAAAAACTCTATTATCTGGGGGTGGTGTAAAAAAGGAAAGCATGAAACTGAAGCCTGAGAAGAAACGTGATAATGACATCAAGCAAAAAAAATCATTTAGCAAGACAGCTGCCTTATCTGATTCACAACTAGCAAAAACTGTTCAAGAAAAATCTACAATTAAATTTCCTACTACTGGACATACAAAAGCAAATTCATTGGTAAGAACATAATCAATTTTGTTCTTGAAGATTATTAATTATATTCTTTAATGCATTGTATAAGATTATACATTGTGTAAGACATTGTATCAGAGTAAGTGAGGCCTGCAGGCCACCATTTCAAAACAAAATTTGAACAGAACTTTTGGCTTGTGAGATCAGAATTCTTGTTCTCAAAAAATAACTGATCATTTCTAGTGTTCTAGAATATCTCCATAATATTGGAATTTTAACTTTTAAAAACACACTTGGTCCTGCTAGTTGTGTTAGAACTACTATAATTTAAGGATCCTTGATAGGAATTCTGGGAATTCTTCCAATACAAGTTGGGAAGCACTTCCTTGTACAAGGAAAACTTGTATAAGGTTTTCTCAGGCAAATTGACAGTATCTTTTCTTACAGAATGGGTGCTTTTTATAATTGTTCTAGTCAAAACAATTCTGTTTATTAAATTTATAATCTGAAGAACTGCAAAATCTAAATCTCTCTGTAGCAGACTTTTGAAAGAATGCCACGGAGACAAACTTTCAGAATTAGAAATTGTCAGACTAGAAACTATACTGCAGAAACTATACTAGCTAGGAAAAGATTATGCTTTTCCTAGTTAATCTAAGGCAAATATTTAGTATATGATGAATTTGATAGATAATGGTACATGAAAAGGCAAAAATAGCACAATTTGGTGATACAATAAGGATACTTCCTAGTTTATGTAAAGTCCTTTGTATGATTTATTATCATGATAATACATGCATACATTTTTTTTTCAATGTTTAGAATTCCATTGCCATTGAAGATTTAGATTTGGAAGCTTATAAGCATCTTGAAAAAGCAATTGAAAGAGCACTTGTTGATTTACAAGGTGTTGAAGAAGGGAGCTGCAGCCAAGCAAGATCAAATTCTGCTCCAAATGTTGCTGGTCTCGTGTCTAAAGATGCACCTCGACCGTTTCCTTCTGCACTGGAGACTCCAAGAAATCAAGCAGGCATGATATTTGACATGCTCAACAACCAGGATCAAATCTTAAAAATGACACCTGAGCAGTTGGAAGTTGTTCTTAAGATTCTCCACAAAATATTGAGACAGAACTCCAAACCCCCAAATAATGGATGAATCTTAGCCTTCTGATCCTCAACCATCTATGAGTGTGCTTTTGGGTTATTATTTTCCCCTGGTCATAATAAAAAATAAAATGCTCTTAGTACATTTTAGTTCAGAAAGCTTGAAAACTTATTTGAATTATTACTAAAGCAACCTTATGTTTTTATTCCTTTTTTTTAATAAAAAGGCCATTCTCCTTTTTATCCCAGCCTGATGCCTTTGAAACTTATTGAACTACAATACTCATACTGATCAATGACTGGACTGAAACATGATTTCTTGCTCTGCTGAATGCAGCTGAATTAAACAGTCCAGAATTTAGTGAAAGAGTAACTTGTATGAATCTTTTCATTGATTCAGGATGCTAAGACATTTTTGTTTTAAGATTCCAACATGGAACTCCTATATTATGGTCTTTAATCAAATTTTATTTGCTCAGTTATTGTTTGAATCAAGATAATAGGTTTTTAATTCTGCAATATGTGCCTTATAACATGCCATTCCAATTGTTGCTGGCACTAAGGAAATTACATAAGCACCGTCTATAAATGTGTCTATATGGCATATGAGATGGATGTATACATCACCCCCCCTTGGCCACATCCACACCTACTGTCTGAGTAGAAACTGCAAGTTTGCACTATGAGGTAGCTTAGTATGCGAAAACATAACCTCCTGATGGCCAGAATCAAAGATGGAATATTCTTAGAATTGGATGTTTTCCAAAACAAAATTAGTTCAAAACCATCTGACTAGGATTACCATCTAAACTTATTCCCCCTCATTCAGATTCTAAAATCCTCCAAGACTTTCACATCACCTATTCAGCCCAAATTGTAAAATGTTTAATATTAAAATACTGATTATATCTGACTCCCTGGTAATGAATGCTCCCCTCTCCCCTGCTTTTATAATCAAAGTGGCGAACATACCCAATATTCCTTCCTTTTTCTCCAGAAGAATCCTGTGAGGAATTGTTGGGGGGGGGGGGGGGGAAGAGGAGGGAGGAGTATTAGGTAGATTTGTTTCCTTGAGTTATTTATAAACTAATGAAAGCAGGGTAAAAATCTAATAAATAAAAATATGTGAACTAAAGGAGATACCTTCCTAAGAGTGGCAATTCTTAAATTTTATCTCCAGCAGCTAAATTTGCTGTTGTTCTCTTAAGTCCGATGCACAGAAACTATAAAAAAAAAAGAAGCTGCTTATTTACTTATTTGCTGGAGCGTATTTGTCATTCGAGAGTTTATTTCATATAATGGTTAAAAGCATTGGGATAGACACTACCAGTAGAAGACTGTTCTACTCCTGGCTTAAATAAAAAACCAAGTGGATGACTTGGGGCCAGTCACTCTCAGCCCTGGAAAGAAGGTAAGGCAAACCAGTTGTGCAAAATATTGCCCAGAAAAATGTATGTACTTGTATTCACCAGTAATCAAGACTGATTGGAAAGCATCATGTAATATATGCCATCCCCAATCACACAGGACAGCACATATATCAACTGATTCTTCAGATGGTTTTTGTTGTGCATTACTTCTTTCTCTCTGCCACAACACCTCACTACTCTTAATAAGTCACAATGTGGCCTGAGAATCAAAGATTGACAGTTGTGTTCAGTAGGAACATGCTGTGGTTACGCAGTGGTTAGAATGTAATGTTGCAAGCTAACTCAGCCCACTGCCAGGAGTTTAATCCTGATGACGCAGCTTTCCATTCTTCTGAGATTAAAATGAGAACCCAGATTGTCAGTATACTGACATTGTAAACTGCTTAGGGGCTGTACAGCACCAAGAAACGATATAAGTGCTATTGCTATGCCTGAATAGAAAAGCGGGGTGGGGAGCTCACCAAAGTTTTTGAAGGTTAATCTATAGACTCAAAGCCTATGTGCTGAATGTTTGAATGACTACTCAGTTAAGATTAACAAGTTGTTAATGTTCACTGAAATGACTTTTCCTGTGTGGTTCTATATAATTGGCAGTTTCTTTACTGCATGTAATTTCTCGCTGACTCCCCTTTCCTCTATTTTCTCTTCCCTCATCTTGATTAAATTGTATGCATATTCTTTAAAGATCTATAAACAAATGGAAGTTAATAACAATTCACACCATTAAAAAGACTTTAAACTATATAAAAGAATTAAAATGACCTATAAGTCAAACTAAATGTCACAAGAAAAGAAACTATCAGGAAAGGTTTTAGACACTCTTTATGTCCCAAAAGTGAACACCAAATTTGTTTCCTATTCTGAAAAGGGGTCATCAAAAAAATCAATTTAGTTACTCCTAAAATAGCTGCTTGTGACTGAAATATATGGTTAGATTTAGAACAAAACTAGTTTTCAGTTACGACTTCAAGGAGGAATTTGTGTATCATGTTGAAGTGATAAATGAAAACAGTGACTTTTATGATGTATTTACAAATTGACAAGATAGTGTACTTTTAGGAGCAAACCTGTTTTTCACAAAAAAGTATTTTAATACAAAGTATTGAACGTAGGGGGAAAATTGTTAAAAATGCTGATCGATCCAGATTGATCATGAATGAAGAAATAAGAAATAATGTACCAATTCCAATTTTGAAGTTGGAAACATTTAAATTTTTTTGCTGTAAGCTCATTTAATTAATTAAATGTAACCATTTAAGATAAAAATATCTACTCAATTTACAAGCATAACTGAGTGCAGAATTGTAAAATGGTAGTTGTAAATTGAAGCATTGAACCTGATTTTTCAGCATTTTCTTTGGCAATTGTTAAGCAAATACTACAACTGTAAACCCTGCTTTTGAAGCCTTATTTTTTTCCCTAGTGGGCTTTTTTGCTGGAATTTGAAATAAACGCTGGAAATTGGTAAAAACCATCAAAAATCCTAGTTGTGTGACAGCAAGATACTGTCAGTAATGGCAGTAAAGATGAACCAATTGCTAAGCACCCAAAATGCTATCACATGAGTCTGTGGATATATGGGTGTGTGTGAGTTGTACCATAACTTCAAAATTGGATTGTAAGCAGCTTTGCAGGCATTCTTGTAACTGCAAACAATTGCTAAGTGACTAGTCATAAATCAAGGACCACCCATACAAAATACATGATTTAGCATAAAGTTCAAAGTTTCAAAGTATCCTTATGGTACAAATTATCATGATTATTCCTCACAAAGATAAACATTTCTTGATAGAGCAAAACATTGGTAATTTTTTTCACTAAATTCTATATGTATTCTTTGTTTTAGAACTCCCTGACAAATACAGCAGTTTTCTCCAGAAGCACAATAGGGCTTCCAAATTACAGTGCTAGGTATTGTATATTCTCCTATTGATGAGCATGAAATAACGTGCCATTCACTCAAATAATCTTTGTTAAATAATATTTTATTACAATTAAATTTGTCAGAATTAGGTTGACAATACATAATTTTCCTTCAGTAGTTTCCTAGTTAAAAGGTCAACTGCGATGCTAAATAAGGTTGTACACGTAAAACTAATTTCTATTTTTACACGAGTAAATAGAATGTACATGATTGAAAAATCATTAATAAAATAATATTAATCTCCAAAAGTATGCTGTACAGGTAATAAGAATTTAGTTTTACTTTATTCAATTATTCACAGTACTATTCACAGAAAGCAGCCTTTCCCCCCATTCCTTTATATTGTAATTAGGACTGAACTTCTCTAGAAAAGAAAAGCTACGAAGACAAAATGATGAATTAGAAGTTACCTTTCCCCCACCAAATGTCTGAGCCAGTAACGGCTAAGTCAGTGACGGCTAAGCTTTTCAGTACTGAGTGCCCAAAACATGCACAAACCCCCAAAGTGCAATGCACGTGCGTCTCCCATGCACGCTCCCCACCCCACGAATGTGCACGCATTCCCCACACATGCACCCTACCCCCGTGCCCACCACACATGCGCCCCGTGCCACTTGCACTCCACTACCCCCGCACGGACAGCAGAGACCCAAAGACCAGCTGACCGGTGGGAGGCACACATACATGCGTAGCGGAGCTGAGCTGAGGAGACAGATTGCATTCCTGCAGAGAGGGCTCTGTGTGCCACCTCTGGCACATGTGCCATAGGTTCGCCATCACAGCTATAAGTAATATTAACCAGGCCTCTCTTTCTTTCACTGACCCTGCAACTAAGAACTGGAAAGGAAATGGGCTATGAATCACAATCCATTGATAGATGCTTGTATTTCAGTGGAATGACACCACTGAACACAACTCAAAGCCTTCCACAATATAGTTTGTCATAGTGTGCTAATAGTCACTTTGCCTAAATAATAGAGATCTCTTTTATATTAGTCCTACAAATTTTGGTTCAAATTTTGGCTACTTATTCAAAGGATGAATATATTTCCTAAACAGCAGACCACAATTAAAACTATGAAAATTAAGCAATATTCTTAAGTATATAGTCAAGTAATTTCAAGCTTTTATTTGGCAAATTATTTTTTCCTTAATTTGATTTCTCAAAAATATATGTTCTGTTAAAAACAGCTTTTTTTTTCAAGTTACAGTGTTGGCTACTTCAACAACCACCGAAAATTATGTAGTAGATATCTAGCAGTCTCAGAGATTTCCACATTGATACTTTTGCAAGTAGGAAAAGACACTATATTTTAAAGAAGCTATATAGTTGATATAAACTTGATGATAAAGAGATGATTAACACAATGTATTAAATAGAGAATGGAAACAATATTTCAGAGTAATATTGGAAAGGTAGTAATAGCATGTAAGTACTGTAATAGCATATGCCACTGCAAGCAAAGTTTTACTATTACAGTTCAGATATAAAAAAGTATAAAGAATTGTATAGCTATTTCTGCAATTCAGTTAGTAGATTCTCATAATACCACTTTGAAAAAAAAACCTCTGTAAAATATCATCTGTATAAACCTTTAGCATTTTCAAGTATACCAAAACAAAAACTTTATTTGAACAAAAGCAGCAGGTAAATCACATTATCTTCCAAAGAATATAGGAATCCTTGACCACAATTAGGACCAGAATTTTCACTGCTAAGCAAGGCAGTTGTTAAGTCAAATGCCCAATTTAATGACCTTTTTTTTTTTGCTATGGTTGTTAAATGAACAACTATAGTTATCTGGCTTCCCCCAGTGACTTTGTTTGTCAGAAGCTCATTGGGAAGGTCACAAATGGCAATCACATGACCAGGAGGCGGATGCAACAATTGTAAGTGCAAGGACCATAAGTCATTTTTTTCAGTTCTGTTGTAATTTTGAATGGTCATTGAATGAATGGTTTTAAATTAAGGACCACCTGTATGTGGTCTTAGTATTCCTAAAATTCCCAGTATATCTTTTTCTCATTTGGCAACCTACATTCAGATTTATTCCAGATAGCAGCTGAATGCACCATTGGTATTTGTGACTGACTATGTTGGATGGTAGGAGGCAAGAGTGAAAGTAATGAACCCTTTGTTTCTTCTTTCACCTGAAAATTGAGAAGGCAGACATTAGAATAATGACTTTACATTACACATCTGTTAAAACAATTATGAATACCTTCTCAGAGGTTTATGGAAATATAATTCAAGTTTTTGTTGCCCAAATGTTATTGCTAATAACTAAGCTCATAGAAACAGTGATTCCTAATAAAGACTATGAAAATCAAGGGCTTCTTACAGATAGGTCGTTCAATAGGCCCTATTAAAGATAGCAATTTCATTATAAATTCAAATAAATTCAATTAAAGAATGGCCATTCTTTAATGGCCATTCTTTAATTCAGTGGTTCTTAAACTGGGGGATAATTTGCATATATCCTCAATAAGGAAATTTGTAATTACTTTTTTTGAATCAAGGATGAATCTTGGGCTGCCACTGCCAAGATTCTTGTGTAAAACCATGGAGTATGGCATTTTTTGTGAAGGTAATGACATTTAAGGCAAGAAAAATCAGTAACTGGATCAAATAATTTAAGAATCACTGCTTTAGCCAACATTTATGCTTACTCCCTTTCCCTGAATGTAAATAATTGTATTTAATGAAAAAGAGGTAAGAGTGTTGCATAGGCTACCTTGATCCCTGGAGTGAAAGACAGAATATTAATTATAATTCATTTATGCAAAAAGATACAAAAAATCCATGCAGCAGAATATATGCAAACTATATTGTCCTTAATTGCTAACAAAGGTTGAGGTGAAAAGGAAACTCTTATGTTGAACAAAATGTATGGAGTAACATCCTAACGGTAGATATGTGAATGACCCCATACATAATGGGGATGGGGTGGGGACTAGGCAAGAAAAAGGAATTTAAATACTATGTTGCACAATCACAGTTGAGCTCTTGTGATACTGAATATTATCCGTGGTGCTTGCGTTTTTATAATTAGCAATATAGTAATATTGTGTATGTCCAGAATTAGGCTATAAGCCCTCTCCTTTCCCCTTTCCCAGAATAATTGCATATTTGTAATGAAGAATCATTTTATGGTAGTGGAATTCCAACGTAAACATATTTTATAAAATAGGCATACTTGTCATTAACATTCTGTATAATCCCAACAAGGGGTGGGATTCAAAAATCCCAGCAACCGGTTCACTGCCTGGTTGTTGAGTGGGCATGGCCATGGTGGGCATGGCCTACTTGAAACGTCTGGGACAGCTGTTTTTTTACCTTCCCCCAGGATCTGGAGGCTTCCCTTGGGCCTCTTGGAGGGGGAAAACGACCTCCTCCGGGGTCCAGAGGCTCAGAAGCCAGAAACAGACCTCTTTCCGGACCTGGGAAGGCCATTTTTCACCTTCCCCAGGGTCCGGAAGCTTCCCTCGGGCCTCTGGGAGGGCAAAAATGCCCTCCCCCTGGGTCCAGAGACCCTCCAGAAGCCAAAAAAAGAGGCCTGTTTCTAGACTTCCAGAAGGCTAGTTTTTTGCTCTCCCAGAGCCTCCTCACAGATCTTGCACTTACCTGCATCCAAAATGAGCTATATGGAGACTCATGGGAGGAGAGAGGTGAGGTAGGCAGGGCCAGACGGTTTAGCTACCGGTTCGGCGAACCAGATATAAATTTAACATCTGGTTGGGCCAACCTGGTCCAAACCCACCTCTGTACCTAACTACAGTATGTGTTTCAAAAGAAAGAAGCATTGCTGGTTCTATAGAATAGCTGTGTTTATGCCAACAGCTTTCTCAGTTCTGCGGATGGGGCAAGGCAAGCAAATATAAGTATAACTACCACGGATATGATTCTTTAAAATAAAACTAAGAGCTGGAACAAATAAGTTGCAGACTCTAAATTGCAATTCTATAACCAATCAAAATCACCAATCAAAATCAGAAAGCCAACACCTTAATTTTAAACAGGACTTACAAGTGGACACCGCCTATTACACAAATCACACTTGGCATAATACGTTATTTCACCAGTGTATAACTTTTTATATTAAACTCAAACTGCTCCAAACCAATATCTCCTGTTCAAGTCAAAGATGTTGCAGCTTCCAGCACCTGACCTGTTTTCTAGACCCAAAGCCTTAGTGATTTTATGCAGCTAGCATATCTAACAAAACTCACCTGCTTGAAAAAAGCATGTGACAGAAGGCCTCTTGCTGATGGCCTATATCCCAGAAGGAAAAAACAGATTTTTAACTTTTGCAAAACAGCTGGTAATTACTTCCCCTCTCACAATTTTTACAAAATCAGTTGATTGAAAGAAGAATCAGTATTTTCCCCATTTTAATTATTCCACCCACATATCTTTGCTACAATGATTAATAGTTTAAAAATAAAATACTACAAATATATTTTTCAAGGTCTTTAAATATGAAGTTTCAAATTTGTAACACTAATTAAAAATGAATAGTTTTATCAACACCTTTTAAATGACACAGCAGTACATACTAAAACATAAATATTACTGTCTCAATAAAGATAGTTTAAAATACTTAAGGTGCTACATATGTCATGGGTAGAAAAAAATGTTCCTCTCTAAATGTTCATCTATTTTTTCCAGCTCTCATTAATTCCTCTCAGCATGGAGAATGAAAGATGTAGGTTAAATCATCTACTCATATTTTTTTTCATACATTACTCCTTAAGGGCTCAGCAATCTTAGCATAAAGAACAACCTGAGACTACATATGTAAAAATGACTTTTAAAATATCTGAGCACTTACATGAGAATAGTAAAATATTTCAAAAATTGATAATTTCATGAAATTTCAGACATGTTAAATTCTTGTTTTAAATGTTATATTATTATTATTATTATTATTATATTATTATTATTATTATTATTATTAGGTTGCCATCTGGAGATACTATGGGTCATCTGATAATTATGGATAATCATGGATGTCCTGTTGACAATTAAAATTTGGTAATACTGTATGATATTCATATATAAATTAGGCTTTCAAAACAGCTCTAATTTCAGTTTAAAATAATTAAACTCAAATTTGCACATTATTTTAAAGCATTACCTTTGTTCTGGGTCCTGATGCAAACACAATTCTATCAAATTATGGAAAGCAGGAGAGAAAGTTTTAGATGGAGTCTGTAGTCTCTCACTTGTCATCGCGCGTGTCATGCTTTCCCCAATTCCAGAATCAATTCCCGACTGAGAATTTTTTATCCTAGATTCTCCACATGAAGAAGTGTTTACAGCCCAAGGACAGTAAGATGGACCTTTAAGTTTTTGCAGCAGCATCTGATAGAAAGAGACAGAAAATATTGGAGTCATTTTGCAACAGTGGCAGAGAAATACCATGACTAAATGAATGCAAAATGTCCAATGTCTTAGTTTACATAAAAATAGTACATTGTGGCTGCATTAAATAATAAGGTTTTGCAAAAGTATTTATCAGAAAGTTATAAAACATGCCGCTTTGTCCTTTCCTACAATTTAGCATTCATTGGGAATTAAACTCAAGTCAGTCAGAATAGACGGGGCCTTGGAGGTCTTCTAGTTGAACCCCCTGCTCAAGCAGCAGACCCTATACCATTTCAGACCAGGGGATGCCCAGTCTCTTCTTAGACCTCCAGTCATGAAGCACCCACAACTTCTGAAGGCAGACTGTTCCACTGGTATTCCATTGGTAGATGACCAACTACTTTGCTGCCAAGGAAGGGCAGTTTAACAAATGCTCAAGAGCAATGCTTAATGGACTCGTCTTTGCATGAACCAAGTAAACAGTCAACTTAAATGAGAAATAATTACAACCAAACCAAATTTACTCAGAATTAAATTTCTTAAGAGAGAACTGAAACTTTAGGGACTTAAAATTTCAAAATTAAGAGATGTCTTATGCCTGTAATGGCGAACCTATGGCACGCATGCCAAAAGTGGCACACAGAGCCCTCTCTGTGGGCATGCGAGCTGTCGCCCCAGCTCAGCTCTGCCGGGCATGCGCCTGTGCCTCCCATTGGCCAGCTGGTCTTCGGGTCTCTACTGCGCATGCAGGGGGTGCAAGTGGGGGAGCACGCATGTGCAGGGGCGCATGCATGGGAGCAGGGGGAATATGTGGGGATGCGTGCACATGTGGGGGGGCGCATGTGTGGGGGACACACGCACATTGCATTTTGGAGGTTTGTGCTCACATGCTTTGGGCACTCAGTGCTAAAAAAGTTAGCCATCACTGTCTTATGCTCTTGACAGTAACAGTTATTCAATTGGTTCTTAAGAACCTAATCTAGGGATTTTGTGCTTTACCTGTGTGCGAGGCATTTCCTGAAAAGGTACATGCCCATTAGCTAGTTCACAAGCTGTAATGCCCACACTATAGATATCAGATTTCACATTATATCCATGCGTATCCTATAGAAGAAAACACTTATCAGGCAAATTCAATTGTTCAAAGGTTGTCAATGCATATAGGAAATGGATGAGAAATATTTAAACATGTCCTGTACAATTCTATTATTTGTACATATAGAATAAGTTAGTCTAACTTAAATAAAACAGTATACAATTAGGCTGTACACTATTCAACTATTTTAAATATCAATGACATACAACTTCACAAAAGTTATCTTTGCTGTGTTCAAGAAATTCATGATTTCAGATGTAAACTATATCAGTATCACAATAAATCAAATTATCATTAAAGCCATTTTAATTAAAAATATTCATGTATTTGTTCTTGTATTTCCATCAAAATATTTGATATCAATACAGATGGAAAAACTGTGTTTTTGAATACTTTACATTCTAGATATAAAGAAATAAAATTAGTTTTATACTGCTTTCTCAAGATGAATCAAATAAAACAATTGAAAATTAATTTTTTAAAAAAGAATTCTTAACACAGAAAGGGAGTGTCAAATTTTTCAACATTCAGTTTCCGATCATTAGCAATGCTCCAAAATTGTGACGTGCCTTGGGGATTGTAAAGATATTTTGGTTACTTTAATTTAGATGTGCTTGGTAAGTAACTACATAAATATCATAACTTTTTAATATTTTTTTGGTTTCATTTGGTCTTTCCAAGTAATAGTCTTTCTCCCAAATCTGGAACAAATGTTGACAATGTGTGTTGGGCTACAATTAGGAAAATGAAAATGAAGTATTTCCATAAATAGGAAAACATTTTAAAATATCTCTTAATAATACAATTATATATAGAGAAGTAAAATATTGATCCATAACTGGACTGATATACTATATTGCAATGTAAAACTTTCAGTGAAGGATTTCATCCAGAAGTGAATTGATTCAGACAGAGTATTTTACATTTAGATGTGTGTGTACATGATTGTGCCCATACAATATATATGGATCTTATATTAGGTATTTAAAACGTATAAATGAATATACACAGATCCTATGGAAAGCACCTATTTTAAATGGAAATTTCTTCCATATATATGATGAAAAGGAAAAAGAAATAATGGAAATATATTTTAAGTCTTTGGATAGAAGAATCTTAATATGATGATGATAGTGCTTAACTATGTTAAGGGTTTTATGACCATCTCAATTACTACAATAAATTTATTTGTTTTCCAGAATACTGGAAATTAAATTCTGCTGGAAATAAATGCTAAAAATATATTTGTCAACAGAAATAGAGGAATTAAAAACAACTATTTTACTATGTACATATAACAATAGGCTTCCTAATTTTCAGCGATACATGGGAATATACGGATTCAGAGATACCATTCTAAACAATATGGAATATACATCTTGGAATCACAATATATCTGTAGTGCACCAAAATTCATAGTGCATACATAGTTTTAGATAAAACATTAAATGCTACTGTTTAAAAAATTATAAAGAATGTAAATAACGTAATTAAGATTATTTTTAGGGTGCAGAATACTTAATGAATTTCTGAGGCAGTATATATAGCAGAAAAGCACATTGACAATGCAATCTAATATATACTGACCTGCCTTAGTAGTTCAGGACTCAGCCAAGGAAGCATAGATGTACTGAACTGGGGGAAGTCATACACAGCTTTTAACTGTTGTCCACTGTTGACTAAACTATAGAGGTGATTTAAGCCCGACAAATAAACTAGGCCATCCCCTGAAATCAATATGTGGCTAGCTTTAATACTTCTGAAATGCAAACAAACAAATTAATAAAACCCAATTGTCTTGCTAGAAAGACTATCCTATTAAATACATATTAAGATTCCGATATATCACATACGTTGGTTTGTTTCTTTTCAATAGCTATAATATTTTTGATAGCTTAAAGGTTATACTGTTCTTTATTGCATCAGAAAGAGAATTGGGGCATACTGCTTATGTTCTTGTTATTCTTGAATTTAGTTAAGAATTACTCTTGATTAATAAATAGCAGATTTCAGTCTGTGAAGATATATCTAGAAAAAAATGCTCACAATATAAAAGATGCCTTCTTTTGAAGTGACAATTTCAAATGATCCATTAAATAGGCCTCAGCCCAAGAAGGTACCAACTCTTTCTCATTCTAGTTCTCTGTAAGCCTGGGTTATAAAGTGGCTTGGGGCTGAATTCATCCCACAAAGCCTTCCTAACTAAACACCCAAAGATTCAACTTACAGTTACATGCATAGAGAGAAAATGGAGAGAGACTAGATGGTTTCCTCTGTGGGCTAGGCTAGAGTGAAATAGAAAAGGTTCGTGAGTTACTGTATGGTAGCCAGCTTATAGCCCTCAATGTTTCTAGGACTGAGGAAGATTTTTAAAAAGCCCACAATGTGAAATGAGTTATCCCTTGGTCAGTGCAACATAAGGGAATTGTTCCAATTTAATGTGACCCATTTTTTCACATTTTTTCCTAATTCTCTTCCCTCCCCCCGCAAATCAGATTTTGAGTCTAAATATTTGATAGCAAAATGAGTTTGGTGATCCTCCCTTTTTTAAAAAAATGCAAGTTTAAACAGTATTTCATGAGTACTAATTTTAATAAGGCTATAAGAATTGTATTATATGCTTTTGATTTGTACATTTGTTTTCCACATATAGGGATCTCGCTTCTCAACATATTCATTTTACATCTGAGGGTACCTACTAGAAGAACTCTATAATGTAAGGTAATGTAAGACCTTATAAAGCAGAAGTTACATATTTTAACACGTCCAAATTACTTCACTGTAAACAACTGTACAATTCAAAGAGATCATTTAGCTATACTCCAACTCTGTAAATAGCTTAGAGGGCTGTAAAGGACTGTGAAACAGTACATAAGTCTACGTGCTATGGCTATTGCTCTTACAGATGGCTCAAGTTTTCCTTTTGTCCTATCTTTTGTTGTACCATTTCTTCAAAATATATTTAGAAACTTCAAATATTTTTTAAAATTTAAGAGTTAACAATTAGAGGCCAAGGGAAGGAACTCAATGAGCTCATGCGTCTCATCAGAAAATTCCATGGACTAAGCAATTCAAGATTCATATTTTAATATACTCAACACAATATATTAAAATAATTGGAATATTTGTGGAAGTTTAATATATATTAAAGCATTTTGGAATTCCATCTGAGAATGAGAAATGAAAATATAAATTGTTATACTTGGTAACAATATACATCTTAATCAGAGAATGCTACTAAAAGAAAGAAATAAAATAAAATAATCACATAACTTTTTAAGCTTCAGCTGAAATCATTGGATGGATTCCAATGAAGTTCTTTCATATTACCTGTGAATATAACCATGTTGATGCATATAGTTCAATCCACTAATTGCACCAAAGAGGATATTTCCTATCAAAGCTTCACTCATGCCTTCAGGGAAGTAAGTCCTCAAGAGACAACTGGCTGAATCTAAAAAAAAAAAAAGAGTCCAAGGTTTAGTAGTAACTCCTCATAATATCCTTATAAATATAGGAAGGTCAGGGCTGGCCCAGATATTTTCTACCATAATTAGAATGATCAAATTAATTGATCTTTTGCAATGTTTCAAAAAAAGCTCAGGAGCTCCTAGATAAAAATTACAGATGTACATGATCAAATTAGCACTGTCCTCTAAAGCCCACAACTGAAGCAATTCTCTGTTTTAAAAAATACTCCCAATAGTCCTCTTTAAGTAATTATCTCACTTGGAAGTATAACTATTCCACAAACTAGGTACCAATAAGCTGAATTGCTCTGTATGGGCAGAAGGAATTTAATAAATAAGGATATATTTTTGTAAACAGAGTTACTTACTGTAAGCCATAAAAGGAGAAATAACCCAAAGCCATCTTCCAGCAGTAAACACTGCCCAAAAAGTCAAGATATGTGGATGTCGGAAAAAGTGGGATAATATCACCTCATTCTAGAGAAATAAATAAATGTTTTAATAATCTAAAAGATGGGAAATACTCCATACTGTTTTAGCCATTTAGCCATGTGTGCCTTCAAGTCGGTTGACTCCTGATGACTGCCTGGACTAGTCCCTGACGTTTCTTGGCAAGGTTTTTTGAAAGTGGTTTAGTCTTGCCTGATTCTTAGGGCTGAGAGTGACTGGCCCATGGTCACCCAGTTAGCTTTCTTCTTAGCCTAGCTCATCATAAGGCACTCATGTTCTGAAAACAATCCCTGAATCAGAAAAAAAAAATAGATGGCTCATTATAATGTCAGAAATATAAAACTGAAATTACCTGAGAAGCTATAACTAATTCTGCGTGAGCATATTTCCGAATTTCTTTGCATATCTAGAATTACTACAAATATGGGGATATTATATATCACCTTACATAGAGCTTATATAACCTTGCAAGCATTATATATCAAATTTAAAATTATGTTTACTTGTAAAGCTTTTAAGAGTTCTTCAGAACATCTTTCCAGATCTGTAATTCTTACAGCCACTAGTGTTCCTGTTGGGATATGACGGGCGAGGTAGATTGAAGTTAAGTTGTTGCATCCTTTTCCTACAAAGAAACAGGCATATACCACTTAACATTCAAATTAATTTATAAAATAATCATGGATGATATATAAATAAATAAAATATTCTTATGACAATTGTGAAAAAGGACACCTTTCAAAACAAGCATAAATATCTGACTTGAACTAGAAGACAACAATCTGATTCTGAAAGCTATTTCCTAGTTGAAACATTTTTTTTTGTTTTAAAAAGAGGATTACAGGTAGTCCTCATTTAATTATCATAATTGGGACTGGCAACTGTTGCTAAGCAATAGTCATTAAGTGAAACTTCACATAAGAGTTACTATGTTAATTCCACTGCAATTGTTAAGTGAATCATCCCCAGTAATTAAACACAGTGTCATGTGAATGCAAATTGCAACTTACTGCTGGCTTTCCCATTGAGTCTGCTTCCCAGAAACCAGCTTTGAAGCTCATGGGATGTTATAAATGCAAGCCAATTGTGAAGCACCCAAACTGTGATCATGTGACTGTGGAGATACTATGATGGGCATAAGTTTGAGGGCCAATCAAAAATCCACTTTTTCAAGCACCAATGGTCACTGAACAAAGCTGTTCTTAACCAAGGACAACCTGTATTATGCTCTGGTGTCTATCAAATGATAGACTATCAATTTACAAATTTACAAAATATTCAGAACAGATCAATGAATATTGGTATAGCATGTTAAATGTTTAAGTCAATAGTGTACAAAAAATGAAATAAGAATTGAAACTGGTATTTTAATAGGGATTACCAGTTGAAGTTCATTTAAAATAAATCTTAAGCAGCTCATTTGCATAATAAATATCCTCACACCAATTACCAGCACCATGTGCTAGTTACATACAAAGATGCTTGTGTAATACCATCATGAACAGACAGCATTCCCATCTTATTCACTGATGTAGGATCTGAGGCAACAGAGAAGAATGCAAACATGTATTTTCTTCTGGTTAAAAAAGAAGTGATAGATATTGCAACTGAAAAACAATTATTCATGCACAATTTGATAATATCCTTATACTACGAAGCTACCATAAATTTAAAAAAGACCAATATAAAGACTTACTAAATCAAAGGCAAGACAAGTTAAATGGAAATAGGTTGTAAAATACAAGCAAATATTAATAAAGATAGAACTAATATATATTTCAGGTAGGATATGGCAAAGGATAAAATTTCTAGTCCATGTCTTCGGTTCAAGTAAAGACTAAAGATCTCTCACTTAAGACAAAATAGGAACGTCTTTCCATCACAAAACAATTACCTATCTCCACCTGGAGATCATAGTGTGATACATCAGAGGACAATGGTATCTGTTCATTTCTTTGAGTTGATTGTCCCCAACATACAGCAAGTTCATCTGTCTGAATAGCAAAAATATCTATTAAGTTTTATTGTTTAAAATGGTGTCATTTCACATAAATTTTGAAAATCTCCCAACATTCCTGTCTATGTTATCATTCCAAAAGCACCAACTAGTTTTTAATTTTGCCTGGTTTTTGATGGCAATAACTTCTTTAATTGGGGTGTGATTTTTGTGTTGAGTTCAATGTATTTAATTTCTAAAGAACCCTAGATCAGATTAAGGTACACCTTTCTCTCCATCAATTAATCCATGAAAAAGCCAGGCATTCATTTTCACTCAAAATATTATATAATGTAAGTGCATTAAAACCAAAATACTAACAAATATATCCTATCTAAAGTGCTACTATATACTCTAGAAGACCAAAAATGTATTAATTCCAATTCTCTAATATATACAGATAGTTCTCACATACCACTCATTCAGTGATTGTTTGAAGTTGCAACGGTGCTAAATACGTGGCATTTACAACTGGTTCTCAAAGTTATAGCGGTCATACCATCCACACAGTCATAGGATTGAAATCTAGCAACCTGCTTGCACTTGCAGTGTTGTTGCAGTGCCCAGCAGTCATGAGATCACTATTTATGACCTTCCCTGCTGGCTTCCCACAAGCAAAATCAATGGGGAAGTCAGGAGAAAAGGTCACAAGTCACTCGAGTAAGTCTTCCCCATCCTGTAACAACCAATCCCAGGCCCCAAATTATTTGAGTATGCTGCTGCTATCACCCACACATCCTCTTCCACCTGGCAACAGCGACTTACCTGCCTGACAGTCTGCTTGCGAATCGCCTTGGACTTGCATCTTCCTGCTGGGTTCCCCAGTGATTTAGGTTTTTGGAAGCCAGCAGCAAGTTGCAAGGAGGTCTTTTCATAATGGCCTGCAATTCTCACTTAAGAACAGCAATGGGGACCGTCAGGATTGCCAAGTGATGTGGTCACATGATGTCACGTTATAAAATTGCTTAGCAATGGAAATTCCGGTCCTGATTACTATTGTTAAGCAAGGACCAACTAATCTGTATTCAGCAAAAGGGATCAGAATGAGAGCCTCTGAATTAATTTATACAGCTGCACTGGATAGATGTTTAATGGCTTCACACATTCTTAAAGCATCTGCTCCTTTTTTTTACAATAAAATAGGCAATTCCTTGCAAAAATGGAGAAAGTAATATTTTGTCATATATCGCTGAAAATGAACAGAAAATAGGCAGTATACATTTTATTACAGTATAAAACTGTGGTTCCCAAACTTTGTCAGTCCACTGCCCCTTGGTGCTACAAACTCACCATCAGTGCCCCCCACCCAGGGGTGGGATTCAAATTTCTTACCAACTGGTTCTGTGGGTATGGCCTAATTTGTGGGCATGGCTTAGTGGTCATGTGACTGGATGGGTGTGGCCAGGTGGCCATGTGACTGGCAAACCAAATATAAGTCATCCTCATTAAATGGCCGGTTGCTTAGTAGATGTTCTAATTTATGACTGACCTCCCCAGAGCTACTTGCCCTGTTTTGGGAGTTTTGACAGCCATTTACACGCGCACGCACACACACACACTCTCTCTCTCTCTCTCTCTCTCTCCCCCTTCTAACCCTGCTGGAGCAGGTGGTTGGACTAGATATCTCACTCACTTTCTCCTCCCTCCTTCTTTTTTCTTTCTTTCTTTCTCTTTCTTTCTGTCCCTTCCTTCCATCCGGTCCTCTTTCTTTGTCTATCCTTTTTCTTCCTTTCTCTTTTCCTTTTCTCTTTTTCTTTCTTGTCTCTTCCTTCTCTCTTTCCCTCTCTCTTTCTCTCATTCCCTCTTTCTCCCTCTCTTTCTTTTTCTCTCTCTATCCCTTCCTTAACCTATCTACCTATTTTCTGCCCAGGAAGGTGTGGCCTAATCCAAGGGTTGCCAACCTTTTGGACCTCAGGGACCACCAAACTCATAATTTTAAATCCTGTGGACCACTAATATGAATTTTGACTGACGGTGGCACAGGAAACTTTAGCCAGGCTCTCAAGAGATGAGAGTGACTCCGGCTGCTTCTTTCCGCTAACAGGCAAAATTGTCTCTAAGTATCAACAGTGAGGTGTCACATAAAATGGTTCATTCTGTATTGTTGAATTTCTACCGCTTATTGCCCCAGGTATTAAATACTGTCACCTTGATTAGGAGGGGAAAACACTTACTGTTTTGCATTTCTTGATTATCAGAAGCCACTCTCCAACCAATATAATAAAATGGACTACTTTACCATTATATTACAATTTCTCTTTCTCTCAACAACCTCTCTCTACCCCAACTAGGGATGAGCCAATATTTATCAGCCTGCAATGGGCCAGTAACATAAAATACAAGAGCCTTGCCAAAAGACTCCGATTTTGTGACAGGGACCCACACCACAAATACATGAAACTCTTGATTCCTCCACTGCCCATGGGAGAAAAAAACATGGCAACACAAGCAACCAGGAATCTCCCCTTCAGACAAAAGAGTGGCCGGCCGGCTGGATGCGGTTTTACACCTGGTGCCCCAAAGGACTCCAGAAGCTGGGTTTGGTTGATCCCGATAGAAACGTAATGGGGGGCAGGGGGCGCATCCTTGGGCGGGACTGCAAACAGGATACCCTGGAGCTGGCAGGGTTTATGAGAGGGACAAAAGCAGCGGCAGCAGCAGAAGGAGAGTTTTCTTCCCCCTTTGTGGAAGCCCCTTTGGGTGCCGCCTATTTCCTTCCAGCGCTGCCTCCAGCCTGTGAATGGAGTGTTTCTCTGGCTGCCGCTCTTTGGTGACAGGTACAGGCAAAGTAGCGTCCTCGGGGCTGCGCTTCTGGAGCAATTCTGGCACTTCAGGGATGAGCCAACTCCCTCCACCCCCTGTGTTAGCGAGGTGCAACAACGTTGTGCTCCCCTTTGCACAGGAGTATGGCCAAGCTATCTGCAAAATCATTTCTCTTGAGGAGCGCTTGACAGTTTGCAGATATTGTGGCCACCTGTTAGCGGAGAGAAGCAGCCAGAGTCACTCTCATCTCTTGAGAGCCCAGCCAAAGTTTCCGGTGCCACTTGCGCTTCAGTGCTTTGACTCCCAGGGGCAGGAGTTCGGCCAAGCTACCTGCAAAATCCCACCCCTGAATTGCGCCCTGAGAGGGGTCCACCTCGAGCGCCCCCCCTTGCCTCTTAGCACCCCCCCTTGCCTCTTAGCACCCCCCTTGCCTCTTAGCAACCCCCTAAAGCATCCCACCCCCCACCCCCCAATGGGCAGTACTGCCCACTTTGGGAACCACTGGTATAAAACATGATTGTGATAGGAAACATAATACTGGTTCTGCTAAGGGAAGGTGACTTTTCTCTTACCAAGTCTTGACTACTGATGCTTTCCAATTGCTTTTCTACTCTAATGGATTCAACTCGTGTCCGTAGAATACAGGAACAGTCCTACAAAAATATTTGAAAGTATAGAAATAAAGCCTTTAAAATGTAACTCACCAATCTATACTCATCTGTCATGATATGAAACTGCAACCTCAGTTCATAGTAATACTTAATTAATGCCGATACTGTACACAGTAAGAAATGTGGTCATCTCGGTGGGTTTAGGGACATCTAAGAGTCCGTTCTGAAAAATCATGATTAAATTCACTTTTTCAAAACTTAAGTACAGTATAGTTGTCTGAAATCAAACCTACATAAATAAGACAGATGCTAGACTTAGTCATCCAAGTAACCCCTTTTTATGACCCTGTAAAAATTGGCTCTTCCAATTCTTAATTTTATCCCTATAATCTTGAGTTGGGGATATCAACTTGCTTGTGGAGTCTGAACTTGAATATTATATTAAGATATATTATAAATTTTAATGTATATTAAGATGTAAGAAGAGGCATTAAACCACGATTTTGGGCTATATTTTACAGTTCAAAGAACATTCTATTTAAAAGCTTTCACTCTGGAAAATGAACCAGAATTATAACTCTCTTTCTGCAAAGCTCCATAAATGGACAAAATAATTTTATTCTATTTTCAACATGCATATAATAATATAATATAATATAATATAATATAATATAATATAATAT